TTCTTACCTCCCAGAGACCCGCCCCACCCCCCTTGCAGGCCTTAGCCTCTGCAGCCTGGCAGGCCCCATGGAAGGAGGGAGTCCTTTGGAATTAGGAGTCCATAGGGCCTTCTTTTAGTGCCCAGCTCAGAGCTGGATACCCTTCCTCTGACTCACACCAAGGGCTCTCTGAGTCTGCCCCCGCCCCCCCCAGCTCCCCTTAGGTGCTGCCAGGTAGATGCTGGTGCCACTGGGTGCGAGGAACTTAGGGGGCAGCGCTTTGAGGATTATGGCAGAGCCCCCACGCCCCTCCGGCTGGTTGCTCAGAGGTCTCAGCCTCAACCTCCAGGCTGGTTCCGGTTTTTAGGGGTTGCGTGCCTGGCTCCTGGTAGGCAGGACACGTGGGAAGTTATGTTCATGCCTCCCCACCTTTTCTAGGCAGCCAGCCTCTAGCTCCAGCTCCTCCCCTGTGTGCCAGCATCTTTAGAAAAAAAAAAAGTTCCCAGCTCTGGTGGTGGCAGCATCACTATCACTCAGAGGCAACGCCTAATTTGACATTTGTTCCTGATGAGTAGCTGTTTTGTCTCTTGTTAACTGTTGGAGTTTCATTGAAAAGCGGGGTACCTGTAGGGGTTGTGGGAGGCAGGCAGTCTTTCCCAGGTGCAGCCCCTGGACCGGGGGGGGGGGGGGGGGGGGGGGTTCCGCTTGGCAGAGGCCAGGCCACTCCACCAGGGCATCGTTTGCGTACGGGGATGTGGATATATATTCTTAAGACACAAAGGACCCGCGTCTGTCAATATCTCCCTGGCTTTGGTGACAGATGTCCGGTCCCAGCTCTCCTTTGCATTCTAAGCACTCCCCTCCGTCCCCCCAATCAGGCCTGGGGGCTTTGAAGGTGGGTGGGGTGGGGGCTAGTCAATGAACCGCCATTGCAGTTAAGTAATAACAGTTTTTTAACCTAAAGAAGACTAGGCTGCTATAGATATCCATTTCATTTTAATGGGGCCTTCCTCTCCTCCCTTATCCCCCTCCTCACAGATAATGGCTTCTTAAAGTTAGGTAACATCATTTCTTTCTTTCTTTAGCCGCCCCCCCATTTCTACCTTTTTTTCTTTTAAACCCTACTTGAATCCCCTTGGTGTCAACAGGCTGAATAGTATCATGAAACCAGTGGCTGGCGATGCAAACCACGTCTTTAAAAACCACATCCCTTGATTTTTGCCCTCTCTTAGAGTTCTTTTCCTCTGCCTTCATTTCCCTAGTCCTCCCCGCAGCCTGCCATCTCTTGGCCCTGGGTTCAAGGGCTGGGTAGGTTTTGGGAGAGTGGCATGGGCAGGAGGGGGAGGGGACATACGGCAGGAGTCGGGTGGCTCAGACTCAGGGTTCCCAGGGCCGGCGCCTGTCCCGGGTAGCTTTCCCGCTTAGGGTTTCTAATTCATGAATGCGGCCGGCCTCGCTGCTTGCTGCTTTTCTCTTTGTTCGCCTACTGCCCAGCCCGGGACGCCGCTCTCTCATTTGAAGCCGGGTGTTTAGCATGCACAGCAGACGCTAGAGCCGGCATCAGCATTCTCCAGGCTTCTCCCAGGCAAGGCCATAAATTGGTTAGTTTGGGACCCTCCGAGTCTTCTCCCCTTTTCTCCCTCCCCCCACCCGCCTCCTTTTAAACATGGAGTTGGACACAGCATCCTGCTTGCTCGCCCCCACCTCTTTTATTTTCTTGTACACAACCTCTCGATCGATAGCTGGTTAGCACAAATCCCAGCCCCTGTCACTT